GTCTCTGGCTTCCGTTTATTCATTAGTCAGAGAATGATGGGGCAGATTATTTCTGAAGACCCCTTTTGTCCTATAAATCTCATGGTTCTCAACAAGAGGGAAATAGGAACAACGGGCAGAAACCAGCAAGAGGCTGAGGAAACCAAACCAATGAATTTTGGATTGTAGCTAACCGAGGAGAACCACGCGTGCCACAGGTGATGAAAGTCAGATGTGTAAAAAGGAGGAAGGAAACAAAATGAAGATGAGCCCTAAGAATTCAGTGTTTTGCCCTGGTAAAACTAGGAACATCAGGAAAGCCACACTTGATGAGGCCCACATTTTTCCAAGCCAGTTTTTACTCTGACAGGGTTACCTCAAGTGATTGAGAGAGGGTAGACGGGTTGACTACACTCATTCAAGCTGCCAAATTAGAAAAGTCACCCAGAATACCCTGTGCTTTTTGAGTGATTTTCATGTTTATGAAAATTCCTTAGCTTGCTATTTTGTTATTCAAAAGGATTATAAACATAGAGCATTCATGTATAATACCTTTCATAACTCATGTTAAAATGCTGATGTTATTGGATTTCTCAGGAACAGTACTGTTCTATTACTCCATTCAAAAAGGTTAAAAAAAATTAATTACTCTATTTTCATCATTAATCCCATTTCCCCCATTGTCTTTGTATTCTACATAGGAAGCATACCATAATTGAATTTACTCATCTATATAAAACAGTACTTTAATCCTATTCTGAAAATCAAAATATATTTTTGAAAATCAAAATATGTCAAAATTGAAAATCAAAATGTGTCAAAATATTGAAAATTTAAATATATCAAAATTAATTATATTTGATGTATCCCTCAAAAAATTGATTTCTCCTTACAGAAATCTTTTTGCTTTCCTGGAGAAACACTGGGTTCAAGTGCAGCTTTCTTCATTCTATTCTGGTCTGTCCAATATATGAAAAGCGCAAGCACACAATGACCAGTGACAGATTCGCTATGAAGCTAATGAAGCTTCATGGGGCCCTTCCCTTGTGCAGAGCCCCTTCCAGTGCTTCGGGAAGGGCCCAAGCAATTTTATTCTCATAATTTGTAGTACCTTCCTTAGAGAGGCCCCACTACTGTGTACATTTTATGCACCACAAAACCTGAATTCACCCCATCATGTCCTAGCTGTAATTAAGCTTTCCTTCCTGTTAAGGAGGGACGCTTACCCAGCCATTTGATGTAGGGTCTGAAGATAAATAACCTATTAGCCCCAAACTAGAAGTGTTAAATCATTAAGACAAAATTTGAGAATGATACGGCTGCTATAATGGCAATCTTTGGATAATACTGTCCAGGCTGATGGAAAGTGTAAGAACTCCACTTTGCTTTGTAAAAAATACAAAAACACGGCCGTGGAAGTACAGTACATTTTGTATGGAACATTGTACCAAATGTCATGTTAAATTAATGATTCAAGATAAAATTATGCAGACCAAATTTGACCAGGGTTTTAAAAGGTTCTCTCTCCATGAAGCAGGCTGGCCACGATCTTCTCTCTAGGTTTAAAGGTAAGGAGGTTCCCTGTGAAATATGAAAGTAACGCCTAAGTGAACTGTCTGCAATCTAAGAATTGGTGAATTGGTTGCAAAGAAAGGCAGACCACGCCCACCCAGGGATCTCTCTTGCAGTTTGACAGAGAAAGAATCTATGCAGCCTTCAGAAATGCAGTGAAAACAGTATAATCAGATATGACTAGGAAAAAAAAAAAACAACTGGTGTTCATTTGCATGTCAACACCTAGAATTCTCTGCTAGTTCACCTCTTCTTCAGAATGCAGAAAGGACTGAAAAAGCTGAAATGGAGCCTGGCGCAGTGGCTCATGCCTGTAATCCCATCACTTTGTGAGGCCAAGGTGGGTGGATCACCTGAGGCCAGGAGTTCAAGACCAGCCTGGCCGACATGGCGAAACCCAGTCTCTACTAAAAAAAAAAAAAAAAAGTAGCCGGGCGTGGTGGTGGATGCCTGTAATCCCAGCTACTCTGGAGGCTGAGGAGAATCGCTTGAACCCGGGAAGTGGAGCCTAGATCGCGCCATTGCACTCCAGCCTGGGCAACAGGAGCGAAACTCCATCTCAAAAAAAAAAAAAAAAAAAACTGAAATGGTTTGGCATGATGGTGGGGTGCTGATTCCTCTCTCTGTCCTTGAGTATTTACTGCCAGGAAATCCTGACCAACATCAATTGCCAAGGGGTTAAAGTCACATTGTTGTTAAATTGGGAGAGAAAATTAGCAGGATTTTGTGCCCTGTGTTCAACTATTACAGAGTTTCGAAAACAGGAACCTGGAGCTTTATATGAGGGGACAGGGGAAGTAAAGGGGAAGAGTGACAAGGGTGATTTATCAGGGCATACTTCCAGATAAATCACTTACATGGAGGTGAAAGAATTTCATGCATATGTTCTGTGCCAAGAAGCCAAATGGTTGAGCAGAAGCTCCTCTGAAAGTTGAAGTGGGCAGTTCTGGGTACAGTCTTTCCACATGTGAAAAGGCGATGATTTTGTATTCATGTTATTTGTCCTCCTGCATGTGCAGTTGGTCTTTTCAGGTGTCCAGACCATCATTTTCTCATGACATTAAAGAAAGCCAATAAAGGCTGCTTGTGGTGGCTCACACCTGTAACCCTAGCACGCACTTAGGGAGGCCAAAGCAGGACGATTGCTTGAGCCCAGGAGTTCAAGACCAGCCCGGGCAACATAGCAAGACCTCATCTCAAAAAATGAAATAATCTTTTTTTAGAAAAAGAAAGTCAGTATTTCATTAATATATATTATAATACACTATAAAATGCCTGTAGGACAAAGAAACACGTTTTCTCTAGGTTCTGTGACAGCATCATTATCCATTCAAATTTTTCTCATAATTAGAACCTGACATTCTGGAAAAATACAGTAAATTTTCATTGATGTTACTTGCTCTGCCCCCCTTTTATTTCTCCCATTAATAATATTAATCCTGAAAAGAAAAAAAGAAAAGGGGAAAAAAACCACCCAAGCGAAATGTTTAAGAAATATGGTACGGACAGTTTGGTCCCTTGAAAAATTAGAGCCACCAGGTAAACCTGTTCTGGGGTCCTCACATCTGTCCCCTTTTGGAGTTTGGTAAGTAGTACAGTTGAAGTGAATTTTTTTGTAACAAAAGTAAAAACTTCCAGAATAACTCCAGTAAAGGGTGTTGACGTGACGTACAAGTTTGGAAATATATTTAACATCTGAGAGTCCTTAATGTTGGTGTTACTTCCTCCAGTGTAGAACAAACTTAATCTTTTGATGAAAATCATAGAGTTCCATAGATATGAATAGAATCTCCAACCAGTGCATCTTGAAGCCAGCTGCCATGGCCACTCATGCACCTTCTCTGTGCCCATTCAGGAGAGAATTCTCAACATCTTTGCTCAAAACAATGTCTACTTTTAGTCCATCAGAGACTTCATGTTTGTTGTGCATGCACACTCACAGCTCTCCACACACATGCCCACTCCCCACACACATCCTGCTGCTGAGAAATACAACTAGAATTTCCTCTGGAGAAGAGGTGGAAACCCCTGATTGAGAAATTTAAGGCCTAGGAAAGGTAAATGACTTTTCTTAAGTCGCATAGTTCACCACAGAACCAAAGCTAGAATGCAGATACCCTCAGCTCTTCTTCCAGTGTTTTCAGGTATACAAGTATTTGAACAGGATTCAAGGTTTAACTTCTTATGTGTCTTTCAGTGTATCCGGTGTAAGTAAAATGTTGCCCCTTAGAGCAGCCTTGAGAATTTCTCAATGACTACAGACTTTGGTTAGTTCTATACAAGGGAAGTGAGAGAGAGATAATGTCATGACCAAATGACTTAACTTTTGAAAGCAGCCTATTGCAAACTTAAGTAACTGGGGCATGTATTTTATTGGTTGACCTGTAAGGACAGATATTTTAAAATATAAATTCAAAACTGTTTTTTGCAGCTTTCACCTATAGGCCTTCTATATCTGCTCTTTGTGAAATAGATGGCTTCCAGAGCATTAAAAAAAGAAATAGACATTTTCTTGGTTCAATAGCTCTAATCTGCTTTCAGAGTGATTTTTTAATAGTTAAGCATCTTTTATGTGCACATAGTTTCATTTGCGATCTGAGAGGATTTCATCTAAAACTGAAAAGTTATTACTCGTGAAGGAGAACAAAGGAAAAGGAAAAAAAAATTTTAAGAAAAAAAAATTGTTTTAAGCCTCTAAAGTTGCTTTATGTTCAAGTGGGTATTTTCAACCCTGAGTTGCTGAAATGATTTTTTATTGAAAGAAGGTTAAAAGTGTATTTCATTGAAAGCCAAGATAAACAGTAGATTTTGTATCATTTTAAAAATCAACAATTGGCTGGGCATGGTGGCTCACGCCTGGAATCCCAGCACTTTGGGAGGCCAAGGCGGGCAGATCACTTGAGGCCAGGAGTTCAAGACCAGCCTGGCCAACATGGTGAAAACCTGTCTCTACTAAAAATACAAAAACCAGCCGAGCGTGGCAGTGTGTGCCTGTAATCCCAGCTACCCAGGAGGCTGAGGCATGAGAATTGTTTAAACCTGGGAGGTGGAGGTTGCAGTGAACCCTGATTGTGCCACTGTAATTCAGGCTGGGCAGCAGAGCAAGACTCTGTCTCAAAAACAAACAAAATAAATAAATAAATATAAAAATCAACAGTGAAGACTCCCCAAACAAAAGAAATTGGGATGCTTAGCCAGTCATAGGTAAAGTGTTACAGTGTGAATTAAAGGGAAAGAAGACCAAAATTGGTGAAATATGTTTGGTCCCAGAAGATAATTAAGATGAATAAAAGAACTTGAGAGTATTTTCTCATTATTAAGCATCTTCAGCTTTAAAGATTTTAGTTAGCAAAGCAAGTTTACATAAAGAAACAGTTTTCTGAACTGGGATGGCATTCACTAAGTTAGAAATCTCCAAGTCACCCATGTTTTCCCTGTTTTATTTGCAGCCATTCGTTATCTATGACATGAATTCCTTAATGATGGGAGAAGATAAAATCAAGTTCAAACACATCACCCCGCTGCAGGAGCAGAGCAAAGAGGTGGCCATCCGCATCTTTCAGGGCTGCCAGTTTCGCTCCGTGGAGGCTGTGCAGGAGATCACAGAGTATGCCAAAAGCATTCCTGGTTTCGTAAATCTTGACTTGAACGACCAAGTAACTCTCCTCAAATATGGAGTCCATGAGATCATTTACACAATGCTGGCCTCCTTGATGAATAAAGATGGGGTTCTCATATCCGAGGGCCAAGGCTTCATGACAAGGGAATTTCTAAAGAGCCTGCGAAAGCCTTTTGGTGACTTTATGGAGCCCAAGTTTGAGTTTGCTGTGAAGTTCAATGCACTGGAATTAGATGACAGCGACTTGGCAATATTTATTGCTGTCATTATTCTCAGTGGAGGTAAGATTTGTCTTTTGATCGTCTATGAAAGAGGGTGGGATGATGGTGGGATGGCCAAAAGAATTTTGGATTTCCTTATTAGTCTGCGTTCTTTGTCGCTTTAAGTGCCAATGGCATAATGCCATGAATCACCTCTACACGTGCAAAACGCTGTACCAAGAAAGAGTATCATAAGTTTGCAGTATGAAAGTTATGAGTAACCCAGGATCTTCTCTTTCTTCCCTCAACAATACAGTTTTTCCAATCAAATGCCCTCTTCTTTTTCTTTTCTTTTTCTCTTTCTTTCCTTTCCAGAAAGGAAGATTAGAGGCCAATCTAATCTTTGGTTCCTGTAAGTAATGGCATGTATAACTTTGCTTAAGACAATGCTTACTTGACGTAGAGAAGGAACTACTAAGTGTTTCTGGTCAAATCATGCTCCTGCCCTTCCAACAGTAAGATACTACTTTGAATTGCTTTCGTGATATCAGGAATTAAGGCATACCTACTGACCTCCACCCACTCTCTTGTGTGGATTCCTCTGATGACTTCCCTTCAAAATACCTTTGTGAGGTAGTTGGTTGTGATTAAGAATGCAATCTGAACCGAACACACAACATAGAAATAAATTTAGTTATTTAGCAATTTGTTGTATTTTTGGCCCTGCAAGTACGTGATCTGACTAACCAGTTCCAAAAGCCAGATTTTTACTGAATGTGGCTTTTTTTTCCTTTCCTTTTTTTTTTTTTTTCTTTTTGTGAGACAGGGCCTCACTCTGTCACCCAAACTGGAGTGCAGTTGCATGATCATAGCTCACTGCAGCTTCTAACTGCAGTTAGTAAGCTATGATCATGCCACTTCATAGAAGTAATACATGGCCATTTTATAGTTGGGCTCAAGTGATTCTCCCACCTCAGCCCCCTGAGTAGCCAGGACTACAGGGGCACACCAACATGCCCTGCTAATTTTTAAAATTTTTTTGTAGAGATGAAGTCTCGTTATGTTGCCCAGGCTGGTTTCAGATTCCTTACCTCAAGTGATCTTCTCGCCTTGGTCCCCCAAAGCTCTGGGATTATAGGCATAAGCCACCACGCCCAATCTAAACTTTACTTTCAATAGCCTCTCATGAGTAGAAGAAAGTTTTACTTTCATCTCTCTGTATAAAACATTTTTTAAGTGGCAAGTTTTCCTACTGAAGTGGACTTCAGGTGAGCTTTTTATAGGTACTTTAAAGTATATCCTCTGTGAAAAACCCATCGGGGGATAGTGGTAAACTGTGTATAACTGCACAATGTGTTATAAAGAGCATGATCTTTTGTTGTCCAGTTGAAAGGAGAATGTTTCTGAAATCAGGTGCATAGTGCAGTAGTCATAAGAACAGCAAACATTTATTTAGTATTTGCTAGGCAGTATTCTAAGCACTTTGTGCATATTTATTCAATCCTTACAACAATTCAGGGAAGTAAGGACCATTTTACAAATGAGGAAACCAAAGCGCTGAGAGGTTTTCTCATTTGCCTGAGGTCACGTGGCTAGCAAAAGATGGAGACAGGACTGTGAACCAGGCATGCTGGCTCAGACTCTACACTCTCTACCATCACATCATGTGGAATACCGGCCTTCAAATGCCTAGGGTGCAAATAGATCACAATACCCATAGTTTACCTTTGGAGCTGTAAGTCCAGGGTCCAGTTGTGATTCGCTTTAAAATAACTACTTGATATTATAGCTTTTTATTGTTGTTGTTTGTTTTTTGTTTTTGAGCCAAACTCTCGCTCTTGTTGCCCAGGCAGGAGTGCAATGGCACGATCTCGGCTCACTGCAACCTCCACCTCCCGGGTTTAAGGGATTCTCCTGTCTCAGCCTCCCGAGTAGCTGGGATTACAGGCACATACCACCACACTCGGCTAATTTTTGTATTTTTAGTAGAGACAGAGTTTCATCGTATTGGTCAGGCTGGTCTCGAACTCCTGACCTCTGGTGATCCGCCTGCCTCGGCCTCCCAAAGTGCTAGGATTACAGGCATGAGCCACCGCGCCCGGCCGATATTACGTTTAATAGAACAAAAATATACTACCTGACATGGTTTAATATCTTGACCACATCTACTTCCTAAATTAATCCCTGACTCTCTGGTATCTTTGATTAATTCAGCAAAAAAGGATGAGATTCCAGTATAAGGCTTGCCAGAAGAAAAATATTACATTTTGAAAAACCAGTTTAGAAAAACAGTTGATATTATTTATCTTGTATTTTATTTTACTTCATTTTATTTTATTTTATTTTTTGAAATGGAGTCTCGTTCTGTCTTGCAGTGGCGTGATCTCCACTCACTACAACCGGGTTTTCCTCCTCCCAGGTTCAAGCGACTCTCCTGCCTCAGCCTCCCTAGTAGCTGGGATTACAGAAATGTACCACCACACCCAGCTAATTTTTGCATTTTTACTAGAGACAGGGTTTCACCATGTTGGCCAGTCTGGTCTCAAGCTCCTGACCTCAGATGATCCACCTGCCTCGGTCTCCCAAAGTGCTGGCATTGCAGGCATGAGCCACTGCACCCAGACTATTTATCTGCCATTTTAAGGCACATTTTATTTTTAATAAAATTTGGAAATATATTAATATTTAATTTATTTCAAATATTTTTCCTAAGCATACTATATATCCCATGTCTATTCTTTTCACTTAGTCAATTTCCCATGTCATTACATACTCTTCGTTAATACTTTTCATTAACTTTTTTTTTTTTTGAGATGGAGTCTCACTCTGTCGCCCAGGCTGGAGTGCAGCGGCGCTATCTCTGCTCACTGCAAGCTCCGCCTCCCGGGTTCAAACCATTCTCCTGCCTCAGCCTCCCAAGTAGCTGGGACTGCAGGCGCCTGCCACCACGCCCGGCTAATTTTTTGTATTTTTCATAGAGACGGGGTTTCACCATGTTAGCTAGGATGATCCCGATCTCCTGACCTTGTGATCCGCCCACCTCAGCCTCCCAAAGTGCTGGGATTACAGGCATGAGCCACCGTGCCCAGCCGACTTTTCATTAACTTTTTAAATAAAAGTAATACACGGTCATCTTATAATTGAAAGAGTACAGAAAGGTGTAAGTGAAAAGTAAAGGGCTTTGCCCTCAGGATAAAATAGAATTAACAAAGTCCTATTTTTCCTATCAAGAAGTTTACATGCACACTCATGTATATATAGATATATACATTCATATATGTGTATGTTCATAGCAGTTTGTATTCCTACCCACATACACGAAGGGAAGCATTTGAAATGAGCCATTCAAAGGTACTTAGTTTCTACTAGGCAAGGTCTACACAAGAAACAGTCATGAGAATTCTGGGCTTTATGAAGTGAGATCTGAGTCTCAGGCATAGAGGATGAGATCCACCTCCTTGATTGTGCTTCATTAGAGTAAGACAAAATTCTCAATTGGTTTTTCCTCCTATTCCGGATTTTCCATTCAGCTAAGCAAAAGGCTTTCATCCACTAAACAAATTTCTGATCCTACCCAGTCTTAACAAGAGTGATTCTTTTCTCCTCTGCAGTTTACTCTAAAGTCTATCAATTACTTTGGTGGTTTCAGAAAGAAGTGCTTTTGGTGGGGATCCAGTTGGCCTCCTCCTGAGCTGGCTGTGGACTCACAGAAGAACTTCACTTCAGCAAAGGCATTTAGGGCCCCAGACTAAAAGAAAGATGAGCAAGATGTGCATCATCTAAGAGTGGGCGGGGGTAAGGAATTGGGGATTAATGGGGGTGTCCCTAGAGGACCCAAAGAGGAGATTTTTAGATGAAAGTAACTGATTTGACCCAACTCAGTATTTGCTGGGGAAACTGGAGTTGCTACCTAAGATTGCTGCCATTAAACTTCAGCCTTAAAAACTGCTGATACCATTTGATTGGTACTTAGATTTGCCCGGGCTTAGCATCTCCGCTGTTCACTCAGCTCTCAAATCAAGCTGCTGAGAAAGATGACCTAGTTCTTCTTGAGTCTTTCTCCCCTCTCTCTCCCCTGAGCTTGGGGACAAAAATTAAACTAAATAAAAGGAACAGCAACCTATTCTAGAACCAAAGTTCAGGACTTTGTACCTTTTTAAGAGCATTTCATGTACATTCTCTCATTCAATCCTGACAGTGCTCCTAGGCTCTTAATTCTCATTTCACAGAAAGAAAAGTGAGGGTCATAGACTTAAGCGATTTGTGTAAGATTCAACAACTAGTGCCACAATGGAACTAACATTGAAACCTGGGTGTCCTAACTGCCCCCTCTGGCTCTAGTCAGTGGATTGTGGTCAATAAACTCACTCTTGTGTTAGTGGCTGCAACCTGCTCTCTCTTCACTGTATCCCTAAAGTAGGCCCATATCTAGAAGCCAGGAACAGTGCTTCCTTGGTCATCATGGTAAGCAATAACTTTCCTTGCACTCCCTAGTCTTACTGACAGGCTGGGCGGCGTCAAGAGTAATAAAACTGCCTCCAGCAAAGCCATGTTTGCAACTGGCGCCGCAACATCATGCCAGCCACCCTAGCAAACTCCCAAAACCTACCCAGCAGCCAAAGCCAAGCATAAAGCTCAGTGAAGCTGACAAGCCCCAGGACACTCTGGTGGATGTTTTGCCCCCTTGAGTGTTTGCTGTTTTGTGAAGAAAAAGTCTAGGAGAGTTCCAGCTGGAACTCTGCAACAGGCAAAAGCTCTTTTTGTTAATTCAAAACAGTTTGGAATCCATTTCAGTTCTTCCTAAACCTCCAAGATACAGGGGAGGAAATTCACTGGATTTTACAATATATTTTTCAAGGCAAATTGCCATCGCTGTCCTAATGACAGAGGAGCTGCCGATATCACTACAATGGCCGCAAATGGCAAGTCATCCAGCGTCCTCCTGTGCCCTCCTGAGTCTGGCTTGGTGACGCAAACCACCTCGAGGGCAGCTCCTTCTTTTTCCAGCAGTTCCGGCACTGTTCCTTCTCTGTGAAGCCACTTTGGAGGGCTGTTCTTGGCATGATCATAGACTTTTCTGC